TAACTATGGGGATGAGTGAAAATGACTCATTTCATACTTCTCCTTCAAAGGACAGGACAGCACAGAAATAGCCCCATTTACAGTATATGCTGTTGGTCTTTCATTGTCCAATTAGCGACTTGACACCACTGCATTTCATAGCAGTAATAGAGGAATAGTCTCACCCTTTTGGCTACACAGCATGGCAAGGCTGTGTGAATCACAATAGTGACTAAATAGCAATAACGTTGTTAAGGGAGATAAGATCTAACATTCTGGGACGTGCATCTTTTATAAGATTTGAGATTATGCGATGTGTAATTCAGACTATCTGGTTTACTGTATGCGATGCTTGTGTGATTTCATGTAAATAAATTTTTTTTACAAAATATTTTTTAGTACTAACTTTTTTTTCTCTCGGTGCAGTAGGGCCCCTAAATGTTTTTTTAAAATAAATAATAAAGTGTCTATAAAAATGTCAGTTCTTTTTCTGGGTTAATATTCTTTCTTTAAACACACCTATTTGGGGCTTTCTGCTCCCAAGGATGAAAATAGCATATAATGCAGGGCCTGTGGCTATATCCCTCTAAAAGTGCCTTGTCTCCTTTGATCTTGGAATCTAAGCAACGTTGGGCCTGGGAGACCACCTGTGAGTACCATAGGTGCTATAGTTCTTCTTTTTATTATTGTTAGAAATTCTTTCTTGAATGACACTTCCATTTCGATTATAATCTACATCAAAAAATGTTCAGTTGAATGAAAAACGTGTGACTTTAATTATATAGCATAAAGTCAATAGTATACAATGATATAGCAAAAATTAATAAACAAATAGATAATTAAAATATATAGTTCAGAGAATTATGCAGCGTTAGTGATCCCTGAAAATCACCTCGTGTTTAGTCTTAGAAGTTTTTCTGGCTTGTGAGGATTCTAGACAAAAATAGTCTTCAACAGGTGTAATAGCAAAGTCTTCTGTGTGGGTGTGTCTCTCCCAGTGGAAGCGTCTGAGTGTTCTGTCCTTTCGTGTAGTGCCGATGTAATGCGTCGTTCCTTAGAGGTTCCCCCTTCTTATATAATATTATATTCTTATAATCTTATAATCTGACTTAAAAATAACTATTGGTTAATCTTATAAGGTCATATTCTTTTGAAGTTCTATTCTCACTATTCATTGACGTAATGAGGTTCGATACTCTCAATATGGCTTGATCAAACTACTAAGTCATGTACATTTCTAAATAACATACCGTATTTTTCGCTCCATAAGACGCACTCCCCCCCCCCCCCCAAAATACGGGGGGAAATGTGTGTGCGTCTTACGGAGCGAATCCCTAGTTTTTTGTACATTTAGCCCTGCTAAAGCAGAGCTAAACGTACAGTGGAAGTCGCTGCTCGTTTAATACAAGTAATCTATTCAGATCACTTATATTAAAATAGGGTGGCGGCGCAAAAGTACCGCCCCCCCTGTTTTCGGGTCCCCCAAAAAAACTTCTAAGACTAAACACGAGGTGACTTGTGACCATGGGATAGGAGCTCACCATAGAGCCCCTAGAGCAGATGAAGAACATCCGTTCTTCGGCTGCTCTGTGTGATCACTGAGACCGTGGCGCTGTCATCACAGCGCCACCTGTCTCAGCAGTCACTTACTGCAGCTTCTGTCACAGCTTCTGTCACAGAAACTGTCTGCGTCTTATGTACCTGGAGCGCAAAATACGGTACTTCAACCTATTTTAAAAGACAAAGATCTTCTCTATAGACATTCTTCACACTAATATACTCGCATATACTCTCATGTTCTGACATTGTTCTCACATTTGAAGGACAAAGCAAAAGGATGTCTGTCTATTCCAAAGTCCCATTCCTGCAAGCACAAGGTCATATATGTTGAATCATGGGCCCATTTATTTATTCCTCTTAAGCCAAATCATATTTGAACCTAAGTATTTTTCATTTTTTTAGAGAGATTTTCATGTAGCTATAGTTTCCTTAGTGACAGCTGTGTTAGTTCACACATAGTCGGAATTTCTACATTAGGTCCACTTCATTTGTCATCTTCCCATTGGGTGGTACGGACAATTCCCTCGTTGTGATTGGTGGAGGGATATATAAACATGTGGCAGTTTTGTTTTTGTGTTTGCAGTTCGTTAGTAACTTGACAAAGTGCTAGACATGGTCTGAAAATTGTGCTATGTGAAATGGGATCGTGACTGTGCCATGCTTATGTGATTAAGTGAAGGAACTTTTAAGGCACTTTTATACTTGTGTGAGGATGTACTATATTTTTGCATTTTCTGTGCATCTAGGAATTCATCCTTTTTAAAAAACAAACAATCACTGCACTTGCTAGAACTAGTTCCCAAATGATTCTATCCTACATTTTCATAGCTCTTACTGTTAAGAAGCCTTACCGTATGCGGAGGTTAAACCTCTTTTCCTCTTGACGAAAAGAATGCCCCTTTGTCTTCTGCAGTGATCTTAATGTGAATACCTTTGCAACAAACTTACTATATGTACCTTTTTTGTATTTATTCATGGTGATCATATTCCTCTTTAAGTGCCTCTTCTCAAGGAAGAAGACACACACAGGCAGCATCCAGTCTCTGTAAATGAGTCAGGTTCCTGATCATATGATCTCTGTGACAGCTAATCACAGCAGTTGCACAATTAGGATTTTGCCTTTCCATGTTAAGACCCAGTTAGAGGGCTGGCAGGAGGAGACAGCAAGGACTTAAATATAAGCACCACATACTGTGCGTTTTGTAGCTTGGTACCGAGCCAGTCATTAAATATTCTCTCAAAATTAAACACAATCGCTTCAAAAAAACAGATCTCAACTCTTTTTGGTTACGTGGGTGTAAGCCATCTGGTTCAGGTGCTTTATTCACCTTTGTTTTCTTAAACTGTGTCTGGACCAGCTGTCTTTTGAGACTCTGTGGTTAATTTCAGGCTCTGGCAATACTGTCGCCATTGTGGACTTGAGCTCCACCATTTTCCTTTTTGTACACAGACCCGAAGAAGGTATTTAATAGGTTTGTCCCAAGTTACACACTTGGAGTCATCTTGTAGGGGGCCTACAAGCTCAGACTTGATCTTCTTACTATTAATATGTTTAATGAATTTTTGGGAGTTTGTTTTACTTTCTTTTATATTTTTTTAAATCTTGTTGTTTTCATTTTACATCTTTTGTTATATTCCTTGTAACTTTTTAAACACTCTATTCTTTTTGGCTTTTTTTAACATTGGACATGAGCCACATATGATTTATTTTCAGTGTTGAAAATGTATAGCCTCTGGGAATATATTTAGCAGTGTGTTTTGCATATCGTCAATCTGAAACATTCCTATTTCTGTTTTGAGTTCTTTTATGACAATAGTCCCTCCCAATCTAAGTCATGGAGAGCAGCCCTCAACACTGGAACATTTTCTGTCTTAAAATGAAGTGTGTTTAACTAAGATTCAGCAATACCGATTTAATCATAGTGCTCGTTATACACCAAAGCTTCCAACTCATATTTTGCTTGGCAAACTTCTGGCATTAGTGAACAAACACTTTAATCCATTGTTGCCTTCTGCACTTGTATTTACCATATCTTTTTTGAAGTACAAACAGTACTTGTAATTGTTATTGATTAATTTTAAAATTGGAAATCTCCTTATCTCCTGCCATAGCCCTCCCCTCATTTTTCACCATTCCAACCTGCATTTGTGTCTGATCCCCTTCCCCGATCTTAGCTTAAATTTTCCTCCATCCTTCCCATAAACCTATTCCCTAGCACAGAAGACCCCTTCCATTTAGGTGCAAACCATTTTTATCATATAGGTTGTACCCCAATGAAAAGTCAGCCCAGTGCTCTAGAAACCCAGACCCTTCCTTTCACGCTAGGTCTGTAGCCCTCTAAGCTTCCGCTGTCTTTTCCATGTCCCATCTTGGAGGTCCTTCCCTTCAACTTCTAGACTAGTTCTCTAAACTGATTCTGAAGCATCCTTCATTTTCCATGTATTCTGTAATTGGTCCCAACATGGACCAAAACAACCAAGTCAATCCCAGCCCTTCCCAGTAATTTGTCTATCCGGTCTGCCACATGCCTGGCACAAGGGAGACAGCAAACCATTTGGCTAAGACAATCAGGCGACAAATTATCTATCAGATAGTTATGACAGTGCAATCTTCTTAATTTATTTTCCTGAGAAGAAATCTAGAAAACATGCACTGTCTGTACAGACCCCACTGTTCTTATTGCCCAGCTACTGTCACAGAGCATGCTTAGGGTGCTTTTCAAAGCAGTCCCTTTAGCAGGAGAGGAATCTACCATCATGCAGGAGAAATCGTAGTTTGATCTAGTTGATCCCAAGCAGTTTATAGCTGTTGCCATGCTTTTTATAAGCAAGGAAGGAAGGGCACATTTTTTACAGCAGACAATGCTAATAAATGGTAATGCAGACATATCAATAATTATACATGGCAATTCAGTGCTCATTCAAACTGTATTAAAGCGGACCTTTACCCATATCTTTAAAAAAAAAACAAATACACTTCTAGAAATGTTTAGTAATGACAATCTACAAACACATACTTCTAGATAATTGCAGGCTTTGTATTCTTGGCATATCTTACTTTTCTTCCCCAGTCTTCTGACAATAGCCATGTTTACTAAGGGCAGATTACTAGATCTTCTTTTACTTCCTAAAAATCTGGCCCATGCGACTAGGACATGTGACCATGCACATCATCTTAGGGGAGGCAAATGCCTTTCCCTGAGATGAGATTTCCCAGCTCTGCTGATGTAACCTTCCCAGGATGCAATGCATGGGCAAACTGAAGTCATTTTGCCCTTTCAAAGCAGGAAGTGCATGCTCTGCTGGTGTAAGTATTTCACAGCATTTTACACTTGACATGTCTATGTTATTATTAATCATCATACATAGAGGGATGCATTGCTAGAATTTTTGAGTGTAAAGGTGCGCTTTATGGCTGGAGGAAAGGTCCACTTTAATTATTAGGTAATAAGAAAACTTACTCTCATCTGGGTTGGGAGAGGCAAGGATAGCACTGTGCTTTCTTTTCACTTCCTCTACATTCTCAGCAATTTTGTCAATGAAACCTCTGATTTCCTCCACCTGCAGACAAAAAACATAGGCCATAGACCCTTGGTTATGTACATAGGTTATTGCGCCTCTCTTCTAATACATAATGGAATTAGTCTGTGTATTGCTGTGGATCTCTATGCTCTTATCGATTCAAATTCTGCAAACAAAGGTAACTTATAGCCAAAATTACTGGCTTATAGCACTAGAGACCTAGGTTTTAAAAAAAAGATTTGCAGCACTTTTCTGTCATTGTGGCTGTATTAGATAGTCCTTTGCCAAATTCATGAAAGCCATGCAATAGCTATGACTGCAACAAATTCAGGTAGTTCCTATGTGTGGCACTTTTACAGTCTGGGGCTATAAATGCAACAAATTCATTAAGAAATACCCCTTAATCGGTGATAAGAAATATGTAGGTAAATTAGACTTTGTTCATGTTGGAGTAAACTGCATAGACTTTGTATGGTCTGTTTTTCTATACACAAGCTTCTTCTAGGTGTCTCATTTACCTCTCTATAACCCAAAAATATACAGCTTTTGCACTCTAACTATATGACATGCTAGTATGTTGATCATACCGTGCGGGCGCTGGATGGATCAGCTGTGGGCTCAGCCAGGCAGCATAGGCTGCAGTGACAGTGACAGGTAGTCTGTTGGTTACTCATTAAGATGGCCGCCGCTCAGCAACAGCGCGGCGGCCATCTTTAAATCTGGACAATGTACTGGCAGCCTGGCAAGCCACAGGCGGATTCTGCCGGAAAGACACGTGGGAGGCTGTCCTTGCCTTGCTATGAGGAGCAGGGATGAGGAGCAGGAGCTACAGCTAACAATCTGATTGTACAATCTCTGCATAATTCCCTGGATGTATACCACCAACTGTAGCTTCAGGGCCATTGTAAATAGTCTATTCAGTGCAATGTCCAAGGAAGAAAAATATGGCAGGGGAGTCTACGGAGAAGTGTTTAGAGCCCATTGAAAAGGAATAACCACGATCAATGCAATGCATGTCAACATGCCAAAAAATGCGCATCAAGATGTGCTTAAATTTTTTTAAAAATTAGTGATTTCACAGATGTACCTTCAATAGTGAAAAGGAACCAAATTTTCCAAATCATCCAAATGTGGCCACTTTGATTGTTTGATAAAAATGCTTGCACATACATTTTTGCAGATTTGCTTGGAACATAGTAACAGTCATATTGTTGAGTAACTGGATTTATGGAAATCTGTACTGGCCCATTCACACCATTGCAATGCATTAGCATACAAACGTTGATTAGCGTTATGTCACCTGTTAACAGGTGTTGTATTAAAGAAGAAATCTGGGTGGAAATTTTATTAACCCTTGCAGTGGGGCTACCCCCGCATTGCAAGGGTTAAGTGCTCGTTTTTGTCTAGGGTTTAAAATAAAAAAGTTATACTTATCCGAACTGCTAAGCCAACTCCCTGCTTCTCCAGTCACTGAATCGTGTCTTCTCCGCTGCATAGATGGAATGTTCCTTAGCGTCCGCATGTCTATACACTTGTATAGAACATGATGACACAAGGATTCTTCGACCGCTGCAGAGGAGAGGGAGAGAGGCTCTAAGGACCAGTCTAAAGGTGCCCGTACGATAATCGGCGACCTCTTCTACTGTAAGGTCGCACGACATTCGTCTTCCGAGCACGCTTGAAAACCTGCCGAAAATCGTACGATTTTCGGCGGGTTAGTGGTGTGCTCAGGAGACGAATGCCGCACGGGCCGGTGTGTGCAAGCGCACACTGCCTGCTCAGCACTGCAATCATCGCAAGCCCTCCCCTCAGCGGGGAGGGCTTGCGATGATCACAAGCACAATCGGCCTGTCCAAGATGTCGTGCGATGGTTGTATGGTGTATGGGCAGCTTTAGAACAAGCTGGCTCGGCTCGAATGATCGGGTGAGCATGACTTTTTTTTTTTTTAGCATCTAGACACAAACAAGCAGTAAACCCTTGCAGCGCAGGGGTTGCCCCATTGTAAGGGTTGATCACATTTTTACCTGGAGTCCTTTTTTAAGGCTGTCTATTATAGGACCACAGCAAACATTAGTGCATTGGCATTCATTGCACTGCAACGCATATCCGCTGGCAAAGTGTGTTGGGATGTCATTCAAATTGAATAGCACCACAGAGCACCGGTGCATGTAAGGTATGTTGCCACGTGTTACCGCAATGCAATGGTGTGATTGGTTTCTCAGAGAACCTCTTCAGAAGGGATAAACGGATGGAGCAACAAATGCTTTTTTATTTTTACAGATGTATGCAATGTCCTGTTAATTTTAAACTGGACAGTGAGCTGAGTAGCATCTCGTGCTCTACAATTGTGTGGATTCTGGGATTATTCCTGCCTGAGCCCAGGTGCATTCATGAAAATAGCTGCACGACTAATTGCCTATCTTTCAGTCCTTATTAAGCCCATATTGTTATGAAACCAGCAGTCTACTGACAGACAGGCTGGCATTGTTCTGATGTTTTCTCCTAATGCAGCAAGAAAAATTGAATTTTCAGGTTTCAGATATCTACATGCTGAATATCATACCTGTTCAAAAAATTCATCCATGAATCGGTCTCGATCCAGACTGACAGCCACTTCATCATCTTCATCTTCGTCTTTAGCCTGCAAGACATAAAACACCCAGGTGTTTATTAATTTTGTATTTTTTACCATTAATATTACAGTTTCATAGACACAGAGGGAAATTGTTTTGTGGGTTGTTGAGTGCACACAGAGGGAAATTGTTTTGTGGGTTGTTGGGTGCACCCAGAGGGAAATTGTTTTGTGGGTTGTTGGGTGCACACAAAGGGAAACTGTTTTGTGGGTTGTTGGGTGCACAGATGTGTCAGGATCTGTACTGCAGCTTGCAGAGTGTCATATCCAGTACATTTCTGCCACTTTCCAGATTTTCATCCTTCTGTAATCCCCTACTGATGACAATGAAGGTGTTCTTTTACATAAATAGATATATGGCATGATTAATATATTCAATACCATTGAAGTGCTTCTGGAGAGGGGTAAAAGCACCATGCTACTGGAATCAGCAGCGCCCCAAGCAAGGAGTGGTTATCTGGGATGCTATTATGCTAATTCTTTCATTAATGGCTATCTTTCCCATTTTACTAAATAAACCAATCAACTATGCTAAAAAGTGATTTTATATCTAGGGGCTAAATACACATTCTAGCTATAATTTCAATCAATCATTTACCTTTTATCTTTTTCAAATATGCATTTCAGCAGTCTTCAATAGAATATGCATGGCTAATTAAGGCTCACAGTAGTGTGTGGAGAATTAGGATATGCTAAAAGAAAGATACATCTACAATAGTGACCTTGACATTGAATTTATTTGTAAAAAAAGCCTTTCCAGCAATTAATTTGTACCTCAAACCACATGCTTATCTTCAGTAACACATTAAAAAGCTCCAGGCTTCTTTGACCTAGTCTGCTAAACTAAGCATGTTCACAAAGGATCCTCCAATAGGTCGCAAGCTGAGCAGTGTGATCAATTATGGTGAACAGATCTGTGATAGGCAGATGTTAATACTTGGCAGGGATAGGCAAACTAGATGGCTAGTGTCTAAAGGATTATGGATAGTAATTCCGAACGAAGGACTAATCCCAGAAGCCAGCATCTCAAAAAAAGGTGCACAACACCTGAAGTTCTCACAAATGTTAATAGGCTGCTACAGAACACAACCAGTCTGGGAAGAAATGACATCACTGATGTTGTAGCTGTTTAATAATTATGAGCCCAGCATTATAGTCGTGTGCTACTGGTCCAAAGTGAACTAATGGCACATACTACCATGCACAGTCTAGAGCTGCAGCTAACGATTATTTTCAAAATCGATTAGTTAGCCGATTATTAAGTTCGATTAATCGGTTAATCGGATAAACAATAAAATTTTAAAAAATGGCTCCAGTGATGGACTACAAGTTTGTATTGAGATTGCAGTCCATCACAGGAGCAAGCTTGGAGCGGTGGAAGTAAAAAAGAAAAAAAATAGTGTGGTGTGCAATATAGTGAAATGGAAAGTGTAAAATTATACAGCAATGAATGGCATCGGCTATAGAGGACTACAAATCCCAGCAATAGTACATTATACAGCGCAATGCAGAATATCACCAGCTATTGAGGACTACAACAAATCCCAGCAATAGTACATTATAGCTGGCGGTATTCTGCATTGCGCTGTATAATGTACTGTTGCTGGGTTTTGTAGTCCTCTATAGCTGGTGGTATTCTGCATTGCACCACTGTATAATGTATTACTGCTGGAATTTGTTGTACTACTCTATAGCTGGTGGTATTCCGCTGTGTAATGCATTATTGCTGGGATTTGTAGTCCTCTATACAGCGCAGTGCAGAATATCACCAGCTATTTAGGAATACAACAAATGCCAGCAATACATTATACATACAGTGTACAATGTATTGCTGGGATTTGTATTCCTATGTATAATATACAGCACAATGTACCATCAGCTATCGAGGAATACAAATCCCAGCAATACATTATAGAGCACCATGTGGGGGGGAGTGCAGGCTTACCTGAGCAGTCTTCCAGCAACTTGCTTCTGAGATCGGACCTGTCTATTGGCGGCTGTCATCCCCCCACACCTGCTCCTCCTTACTACATCTCCCCGCGTCCCTAAGATCGGACCTGTCTATTGGCGGCTGTTATCCCCCCACACCTGCTCCTCCTTACTACATCTCCCCGCGTCTCTTTGCCGATCGTGGATGTGGGTGAGCGGTGAGTGTGAGACGGGGAGGAGGTGCGGCGTGAAGAGCGGGGATGCGGGCGGGTCTGGCAGCAGCGAGTGAGGTGGGGAGGAGGTGCGGCGCGCAGCGTGTGTGGAGTCGTGAACGGGACCAACTGATCGGAAGCCGATTAATCGATTATTGAAAAAGTTGACAACTTTTCCAATAATCGATTATAATCGATTATGTCGATTAGTTGTTGCAGCCCTAGCACAGTCCAACACTACACTGAGTTATTTTTATCCCTGTAAAATTCTCAAACATACTACATGGGGTCTAATTAGTAAGGAACAAATCAATGTACAAAGTACAATAATCAAGAGCACCTATCAGCTATCACAGTTCACTGGTATAAGTGGCATAAATTGATATATTATAGTTGCTATGCATTGATTCACTTAGCTAAACATTATTAAATACACCAAAGTGTTGTTTAATGACTAAGGAATACAGAAATCTTCTAAGTGCACTAACAGTTAGCAACCAATCACAGAGAGCTGGACAAATTTGCTTAGAGATAGAATCTGACTGTCTGTCGATTATCATTGATTGCATAGAATACTACAATGAAATTCATGGGCCAGCTTGTCCAATCCAGGAGCCAGCAGGATTTTTTATGGGAGCCAGCTCCATTGGCAACGAGAAAAAAACTAAAAAGTTAGGTGCCAGCTGTAATTTTTAGGGAACATTGTCTACCTGGCTGCTAGTATTTGTCCAGCTCCGATATATATTATGCACCTCTATCTAGTGCCCTTCCATCAGAACCGCCTGAATTCTTTGTGGATTTGGTGCCGACACAATAGCTTCAGGCAGTTGTTGCAGATTTATTTATTGGCTGCACCTACATACTGCAATCCTTCTGTTCCACCTCATCCCAAAAGATTTATGCTCAGTATGCCAATTCTGACCCAACCATTAGAAATCCAACTACATCAAACCAGGAAACATTTTTATACTAGTTATAATTGTTGGTTTTGCTCCTCTCCTGCCTGCGGTTGCCTCGTTGTCCTAGGTAAAGGGAGCCGACCATGCATGCTGCTTTAGCTCAAGGTTTGTGTGTTCAGTAATTCCATTGTGCACAACACTGCTGCTGAAAAGTGATTGTATTGGCAGTTGTGTGGACTGTCACAACTGGCCATTCTACATTTATACAAATCTTTATATAAAAACTAGCATGTAAAAATGGCAGAAGGTCATCCATTTCTGAACCTAGAACCACCACATCTGTCACCAATCATGCCATGGATAAAATTGTTCGGATGATGCATTTTCCCTTTTCTAATGTTTGTTCAACAAGCGAACCTCTTGATCTTATCTGTATGCTTTACACATTAAGTTGCAGCCACACAGTTTTCAGTTTATTTGCATTGGAGAGCAGGTGTACCATGGACACTGAATCCCCTTATCTGTTTCTATCTAACATTGTACAGCATGCTTTTTTTTCCCACAGAGTCTGAACAGGGAATCCTCTTTGAAGCCTAAGGGATAATATTTGCAACAGGGAAAACCTAGCTATATCACCCAAGATACAATGTATTTATTGCTATACCCTAGAGGTCAACAGTAAGAGCTGCATTGTTTTTTTTAGCCCAATGTGATTCTCCACATGGTTACCTGTACTTGTATAGATACCTTACAGCAGGATAGCAAAGCTAGCAGGAATGATTTCATAGCTAAGTGTTGGCATAGGGCACAAGCATCATTTGCTTACACAGTTTGATTCCCTGCAGAAGGCAGCAGCTCCAGTGACTACATGAGTATCATGGGACCAAAACAAATGATTACAGTTTAGTTTAAATGAAGAAAGGCTCATCAACAGATACTGTACATGCCTTTACTAACTGCTCTCACCCACACAACCCATCTCCTCTTTGTTAAAACGAACTCAGATACTCTCTACCCATATTCAATACCCATTTGATATTTATAATTTATATCCATGGTAGAGAGCAAGTCATTAAATTCCAATCATAAACGACCGATTATTGGATCTACCGATTAGTAAGGCCGATAGTCAGAATGTTTTAAATAAATCGCTATCAGTCTTAAATTTACTGATATTACCAATAAGTGCCAACAGTGAAGAGGAGCCTCCACCAGCAGGTGCCCTGCTGCTGCTAGATTCCGCAGCCGGCAAGTGAATGTAAACTGCAGGCAGTGGGCAGGAGCAATAGCCAGCCCAGTAATTGCACCCACCCACTACCTGCTGTCAATCAGTAGAGGAGCGGACCTGAGAGAGAACTTTCTCTCTCAGGTCCGCTCCTCTGTTGATTGACAGCAGGCAGTGGGCAGGTGCAATAGCCAGCCTGCAATTGGCTACTGCAATTTGAAATAGCTCCCACCCACTGCCTGCTGTATACATTCAGCTGCGGAACCTTGCTGCTGGCAGATGAACACATAGCCCAGTGTCCGTTCTGTGTTCATCTGCCTGCTTTAGATTCTGCAGCTGCAGTAAACAGAATATCGGCACCTGATATCAGTTATTGGACTGAAAGGTGGCCCATAATCGGTATTGGTTCTGAAAAATGTATTTCATCGACCCCTTATATGCAGACCCAAATAATACAATTCTATAATATATAATATTAGTTAAAAATTGGGACAACCTAACCTGGGGACGCAGAGATAATTAATGGGAGGTTAATTATGACAGATATTTGGTTGTGGCTGTGGAATACATCTACATCTTTATTTCAGCTGATCCATCTTCCACTGTTTACATCCTTCCTGCATGTAAGTGGGTGGATATGGCAAACAGATCAGCTATTTTCCAGCCTTCATTTCGACGTCTTAGCGCTAAATCCTCAATAACCATGACAAGTGTCACTTGGCAGCATAAATCAGTCTGTTTGGT